ATCCATCATCATAGTTAAAATAAATATACAACACTAATTCAAAATGTTTGACTCCTCAAATAATATGTGTCACATAAACTCAGATAAATGAAATAATTATTTTGTATTAAAAAAAAGGTTACAGTAAATTTTTAGATAGGGAGGTTCCATTGCATCTGACTCAGATTTTCATTGAGAAATTCAAAATATGAAGAAGTAAATATACAAAAAAGTCGTAGGGGTCTAACATCTATTACATATAGATAAACAAAAAAATTAATCATATATAAACAGTATAATTTTTCGCAGAAGGAGGTTCGTCGTTTAGGCCTTTACTAGCTTTGCCCCTAGTGTCTACTCTCATGATATGAAGATGTAATGATATAGCTAGTGAATTCATGTGAATCTAATTCATCAAAAAATATATGCTACATAAAAGTTATTGTATTTTTAAAACTTTTTTATATGAAAATTCTAGCCCCAAAAGCTACGTGAATTAACAAATCTAAGATTATTATTATTATATATATATCATAAAGTTAATAATGAAAAAAAAAAACATATTGAAGCTTACAAAGGTGAGAGAAACAAGATGAGTGAAATGATGTTCCCTGAAAATTAACAAATTAACTCAAGTTAACTATTATGATCTTAAAAAGAAAAATCAAGGAGGAATAAATTAAATTACACCAAATAATAATAAACTAACCAATAACACCAACAGCAAAACGAGCAATTTCTTTATTGAAAACCATGGTTGAGAATTATAAACTAAAGAAATTAAGTCATGAATTGTGAAAAGAAAAGAAAAAGAAATATGGATAAATTTATAAAGGAAAATTAAAGGTTGGTTTTGGCTTTATTCCAAAAAAAAAGAAGACAAACAAACTTAATTATAAGCAGCATGCAACAAGTATATGTCCCTTGCATGACATGTAATGTTGTTGGGTCGGTGAAGAAGATGTACGGATCGAAATAATCTGGACGTCATGCGGAAACTAATAATTATAAATTTAAAGTGATAAATCATATGAAGAAAGACAATTATAATTAAAGAATCATGTTTTTTTTGTCTCAATTTATGCGGCATTCTTTGGATTTCGAGATTTAAACGAATCTATCTTTGATCGTAATTTTTTTTATATATCTTTTAAATATTTTAAATGGTCAATTATTGTAATTTGGAATACTTTTTACGTAGTTTACAAATATATAAATTTTATTTAAAAATTTGATAATTCTGTGTATAAATTTTCAGTCAAACTTAAACGGTTTAACTAATGAGAAATGCATTTTAAATGAAATTTATATACTTGTAAACAACGTAAAAAATACTATAAATCACAATAATTGATAATTTAAAATATTTAAAAGATTAATGAAAAATTTACGATAAAAAATAGACTTGTTTGAATCTCGAAATTTAAAAAGTGTCCCATAAAATGAAACGGAGGGATAATGTTTAATGTAATTTGACTAAGTGATCCATACATTAGAAAAAAATTAATAAAAAACACAAAAACTATCGAGAGAAAAACTCCACCTAAATAAAAAAAAAAGAGCAACTTTCACATATAGCAAACACAAAATTCATATTTGTATGCTATAGCAAAGTTTGCATAATTATGCTCCATAGCAAACATAAATATGTATATTTCGCTATACATATACAAAAGAAAGCAGTTGTATAATCTGCTTTGGTATACATATACAAAAAGATCAATTGTATAAAGT